GGCGGTTCAAACCCACCAGCACTCCTCAGAAGGAAGGTTGGGCAATCCTACTTCCGTAGTGATACTGCCTCGGAAACCCAAGGAGGGGTCGCTATGAGTCGGGCTGACTCGACGGCAAACAACAACAACAACAACAACAAGGTCTGTTAATGTTAGAGCTACTACCAGCATATTACTTGATACCATTTTTGTAAAAATGTTGAATGAAGTAGTGGAAGATGAAAGTCATCTCTTAAGGATTTATTAGATTGAATTTTTAGGAAGCTTCCTGAGATCTTTTCTAACCCTGAATAACACCAATTAAGAATATGTGTTTTAGGCTTTTTCTTAAAAATGGAACCTTGGCAAGATACGTAAGTGGTAACATGCGTTTAGAAAAAGTATTATAAAAAGAGTAATTCCAGGAGGCCATCACCTGAATCAGTAAAGCCTGGATTAAGCCCAAGGGAAGGAAATAACCCAGATACAGATGTCCAGAAAGCTGTAAGTTTGTTTTGGAAAGCTTCCAAATTAATGCTATTGTATTTGAAATCACCAGGGCCAAAGGTTACTTGTGACTCAGGATTTCACCAGTGGAAATCTTCTAGATTTAGTGTGGAATATTTGCCCTTTTTAGGGAAATTGGTTTTGAATATATAAAGCACTTGCAATCTTTGTGCCTACTCTAAGGTTTAGTTAGATTGGTAGATAGGATTAAAAGTTTAGAGACGTAATATGAAAGAATATTGATTTTTCTAAACTTCCTTTCTACAGAAAGATTAAAAACAGAGCTATGAGGGGAAGAGAAAAAGATTGGCACAAGGTTATTAAAATGGACTATGGGAGATACTCTCTTGATGAAATAACCTCAATTTTCATTTCTGTAACTTTATTGCATAGCACTAGTTGTGCTTATTTCTCGTAATGTATCAATGTTGTCATCACTATAGACCATTGTAAACAAGATTCGTAATTCTTTTCTAGCCCAAGTGTATAAGACCCATGGACAGTAATTGCTAATGAATTTTTGTTTTTTCAAATACTTTTGAGAATATTTGATGAAGTTGATTCTTAGATTCTTTAAATATTTTTTACTCTAGATTAAATAAGGGGAGATACTATATTTAAATACAATAAAAATTAACTTTGAAATATATTTTAATTTATATAATTCAAAATAAATCTAAATAATAATATTTGGAAAACTTTATTTTTTTTGAGTGTGGGCTTAGCATAGTTTAACAGAAAATTCACGCTAACAGTAACTTAAAACAAGATAAAATCTTATTTTTTTTCCTATATAAAAGTCCAGAGATAGTCAGTACAGGTCTTTTATGGTGGATCTGAAATGTCAAAGACATAGGCTTTCTACCTTACAGTCTTCTATTCCCAAAGTTACTTCTTGAACCAAATTTGCTGTTGAAGCTTTAGCCATTACATCTTTATTCCAGTCAAAAGGAACTAGAAAATTTCTTTAAAGGACACTTTTTTAGAAGTCACATACAGTTTTTTAGCTTACAACCAGTTGACCAGATGTGGTCACATGGCCATACCTAGCCACAAGGAAGGCTCAGATACGAAGTCTCTTCTGTGAGACCTTGTGCCAAACTGAAAATTGAGGTTTCTGTCATTACGGAGTAAGGAAAGAATGGATAATGGAGAAAATCAGCTATTTCTTCTTTGGTTTACAAATGGATTTTTCTAAAGGGAAAAAGAAATTTTCCGGTTAAAATATGCAACACTTCACTTAGACCAGAGGCATTCTTACATTTGCAAATGAAATGAACAAAATAGATAATACACTGAAAGAGAAGTGTTATGATAGACTGAAAAAAGGAAAGTTATATCTTGGTATATTCTAAACTAGGAACCCTGGTAGCACAGTGGTTAAAGCGCTTGGCTGTTAACTGAAGGTCAGCAGTTCAAACTTACCAGACATTCTGTGGAAGAAAAACATGAAATCTGTTTCTCTAAAGATTTATAGCTTGGAAACCCTGTGGGGGCAGTTCTACTCTGTTTTACAGGGTTACTATGAGTTAGATTTGACCCAATGACAATGGTTTATACTATAAACTATGAATTCTTTTAACCTTCTACTTTTTTGTGTATTTTATCAGACCAGATTTCTATAATCCTAATTTAGGACTGAAATACTAAATTATGTTCATAAGGAACCTGTACATAGACTAAGAGACAGCCGTTTGAACAGAACAGGGGGATACTGCATGGTTTAAAATCAGGAAGGGTGTGTGTCAGGGTTGTATCCTTTCACCATACATATTCAATCTGTACCCTGAGCAAATAATTCAAGAAACTGGACTATATGAAGAAGAATGTGGCATCAGGATTCGAGGAAAACTCATTAACAGCCTGTGATATGCAAATGACACAACTTTGCTGGCTGAAAGTGATGAAGACTTGAAGTACTTACTGATGAAGAGAGGTCAAAGACTGCATACAGTCTTCAGTATGGATTATACTACAACATGAAGAAAACTAAAATCCTCACAATTAGACAATAAGCAGCATCATGATAAATGGAGAAAAGATTTAAGTTGTCAAGGATTTCATTTTACTTGGATCCACAAGCACATGAAGCAACAGTGAAGAAATCAAATGATGTATTACATTTGGCAAATCTGCTGCAAAAGACCTCTTTAAATTGTTGAAGAACAAAGATTCTGCTTTGAAGACTAAAATGAGCTGACCCAAGCCATGGTATTTTTCAGTAGCCTCATACTCATATGAGAGCTCGACAACAAATAAAGAAAACCACAGAAGTAGTAATGCATTTGAGTTGTGGTGTTGGCGAAAATATTGAATGTACTATGGACTGCTAAAAGAACGAACAAATCTGTCTCGAAGGAAGTGCAGCTGGAATGCTCTTTAGAAGTGAGAATGTCTAGACTTCATCTATTTTGGTCATGTTGTCAGAAGGTGCCAATCCCTGGAGAAGGATATCATGATTGTTACAGAAGAGTGGCAGTGAAAAAAGCAAAGACTCTTGACAAGAAGAATTGACACAGTGTCTGTCTTCATGAGCTCAGGCGTGGCAACAATTGTGAAGATGGTGCAGGACTGGGCAGTGTTTCATTCTGTTCTACATGAGGTTGCTGTGAGTTGGAACTGACTCAGTGGCACCTAACAACAACAATTTAGGTTCATAAAATGAAAGTGGTAACATTTAATATTGCTATAGCATTAACAACAACAACATATCATTAAGTAAAGGACAAATAGAAAGCAAGTGAATGATCTATTACACCATTTTATTTATTTGAGGAGCTCAAGGAAAAGTAGTGGTGGTAATGATAATTAGGGCTATTTTGCCTACTCCTCTCCATATACAGAGTCCATTTTTAAGCCAAGTATACATGCATTTCTATCTTAACCAGAATACTGTATCAAGTTTTCCTTAGGTATTTTCTCTCATTTCAACTTTAAGTGTATACCCTCTATAAGGGAAACAAAGGTGGCCTTTTTTTAGCTGTGTTAATGTATGATTGCTTTTGTCAGTGTCTTGTATTATTTTTTATACCCTTGACCTAAAAATTTAATTAAAAATTCAGAGAAACAAGAGTTGTATACGTTCTTGTGTCATGTAACATTTAAATTAGATAGTAATATTTTAGGAGCTCTGGTAGTACAGTGCCTAAGGCACTAGACTGCTAACCAGAAGGCTGGTGGTTCAAACCCACCAGCCACTCCTTGGAAGGAAGGTTGGGCAATCTACTTCCATAGTGATACCGCCTCAGAAACCCAAGGAGGGGTCACTATAAGTTGGGTCTGACTTGACAGCACATAACAACAACAACAGTAATATTTTAGGCATGTAATTTCAAACATAAGGAGTTCAATCATTTGAGAGTGAATAGAGCGGGTAGATAAGCCTCTTCTGGGTCGATACAGCTTTTATCCATTTCTGTCTGAGGGTTTGGTAGGCATGAGTCACAAATATATCCATCTTCCTTCTCAACAGAATTGCCCTTAATAATAGCAGCAAGTGAGCGATTGTTCTAGTAGAGCTTTGTCAGGAGGTTGTGCATAATAGTAGTAACTGTGGCTGGTGATCGGCTAGTGATTTTAAACATTTGTCGTCTTGAGCTGAATCAAGATGTCCAGAAAAGGTGAAAAATAAAATATCCTCTGTTACTGATATTGGAAACATTCTTCTATTATATCCAAAGGCAGTACCTAAAAATAGAAACACCTGAAATAAGGATGATTATCAACTATATGATGGCCATGTATTGGAGCTTTGCTTTGTAAGTGATAGAAATAAATTAATAGTAGTAATGTTAATAATAATATAATAATGATAATATAAATAATAGTACTTAGTGTTTATAAGTGTCTGTTGTTTAAATGCCTTAGGCACTATGCCACCAGAGCTCTCTTTTGTTTTTTTTTAGTCATGGTATTAAGTTGTCCTGTACTTGCATTTTCTCATGTAATCTTTGAAATAGCCATATCAAATAGATAGTATTATTGTTTCTGTTTTATAGATGGGAAATTGAAGATTAGAGAAAAACAATTTGCTGTGAAAACCCCTCTATTGGACTTCAGAGTCTGTGTTGTAAAGAACTGATCGTGCCTAAAGATCTGGCGCTCCAGGTCCAGGCCAAAACTTGGTAGTTAGAGGGCAGGCTAGTGCAGGTGGATTGGGTGGTAGTGACAAGGACGTGAGTTGCTTGATCACCTGTCCTACTGAGCAGAAGGATAAGACACATTAAGTTTAGTGAGTTGAGAATGCCCATATTTGGAGATAACCTTCTCTAGCATTGAATGTTTTATTCTCCCAACGGAAGGTAGGATGATTTTTTTCTTTGCCTGATGAGTAAGAAGGTAGTATCATTTTCATTCAAAAGAATAGTTTGGAATTTTGATAATTTATGAAGCAAGTAAAAATGAAAGCATGATGCCAACCCTTCTTCCAGGCTTTAAAGAATAATTTAGAATAATTTATTATAGAATTCCTTAAATATCTGAATTCCCCTAAGTTCCTTTGTGTTTGTTTACAGTTAATGTGTTAAGAGCCATTGGCATTTGAAGATCATCAGAAGTGAAGATAAAACATCTCAAAAATTATAATGTAAGTGAATGGGAAAATGAAAATAAAAAATAGACAAAAGTTAATATTTCCAACAATATTTCCAGGATTGATATATTATCCCAAATGAAATTTATGCATATGACTAATCATTGACTTCAAACTTCAGTCCCAATTCCAGGTACCTGTTCTTAAAATCCTGTATTCTCTTCTACCTGGGAAAAAGTCACTAAGTTTTATTCATCTGGTAATTTTTCATTATACTTCTTTTGGCTTCCCTGTACTGGTTTCTTTCTTTCTTTCTTCTTCCTCCTAAAGATTTTGCAGTTTGGCTTGGGAAGAGGGTAACAAGTGTTTATGTTACTTTTTTAAATTGTGTGTGTGGAGGTTCTAAAGAGCTCTAAAGACTGAGGTCTTTGCTTTCCAGCTGCTGATGTACATTATATATTTTACCCAGTGTTAATTTTACTGCCATTCTGTATGTCTATTAGTCAAAAATATGACTAGTGAGCCAGCTAGCCTCCTTCTCTTCCAATTTCCTTTCTTCCTTCCCTCTTCCCATCTTCCTTCCTACTTTGCTCCTCTGTAAATATTTGTTTAGCATCTGTTATGTCCTACACACTATGGTAGATTCTGAATTCCTAAGATCTTGGTGCCGAGACCAGTTATATCATCTTTTTATACTTTAGGGGCATTAGACATCATCTAGTTTGTGTTTCTCTAGAGTGTTTGAGGCCCACCTGTGTTCTACCTATGGTGCTTGGTGAAAATTTACCTTCCTAGGAACCAGCCTATACATTCTGAATCACTGAGTTGCAGGCCTGAGAACCTGTACTTAAAGATTGAGAACCACTTTAGATGGCTTTTAGATTCCAGTTCAAAATCAAAGCACTGAGGTGTTCAAAAATATTTTATGAATTACAAGAATTTGCATTGATTTTAGTATAATTTTGTGTATATTTCATATTGTATTATCTATATTATAATGATAGTAGTGTGGTAGTTAAGGTTGTGAGTCAACTTGGCCGGGCTATGGTTTTGAGTGGCTGGGTAGCTGTATGTAGTTATTCCCCTTGATGTGATTATAATCACCTCTAGGGTATGGCCTGCTTCTGGTATATAAGGAGAGGCTTTGAGGAAGGTCTCTAGCTTTTTGGTACTTTCGGACCCTGCCTTTGCTGAATCTTCATTTAGTGACCTGCTGTGTTGTCTGCTGGTCTTGGAATAGTTCCCGGACTAGAACTAGTCATCTGCTATGTTGCCTGCCAAATTTGAAATTGTGCCATTTTACCTGCCATCCTTGGGTTGTCAGCCTCAGCAGCTAGCAGCAGCCTGAGATAGAAGATGCCTCCAACTCCAGTGGGCCTTGAATAAGAGGCAGAGATGAAGCCCAAAGCTGAGGGGCCTTTACCTAGCCCCTAGGGGCAGAACTCTGAATATGGGACTTCTGGTAGCATAGTGCCTAAGACATTTGACTGCTAACCAGAAGGTTGGTGGTTCAAACCTACCAGCCACTTCTCGGAAGGAAGGTTGGGCAATCCACTTTTGTAGTGATACCGCCTCGGAAAACCAAGAGGGGGCGCTATGAGTTGGGTCCGACTTGACAGCACATAACAACAACAACAACAGCTTCCTTAACTGTGAGAGAATAAATTCTTGTTTCTTAAAGCCATGCATGTGTGGCATTTCTGTTATAGTAGCTGTAGAGAACTAAGAGAAGTAGTTACTTAGTTTTAACCTTACATAATTAAGTTATCCTAATTTTAAAAAATATAATGTAATTCTCAGCTCACTAATAAGTTTAATCACAAAATGCCATTGTCTAATTTTTCTGCATATTTTGGGACATTAATTATAAGAATTTTTGAAAAATTGACATCTTTAAATAGCTTATTCATTTCTAATAAGCTTATTTAATTTTATATTATTTTCTTTCTGTTAAATTTTTTAATTTTTATAACTCTAAATTCAGAATTATAATAGCTCTGTGAAAGAACTTTATAGCTGTTGGTTAGTCTTTCATTTTTTATGTTGAAACATTAATGTCAAGGGATTTGCCTAAATGTAGCAGTTTTATGAATGTTAAAATATACTTAAGAACAAACAATGATATTTAGTGTATTTCTGATAATATGTGTGAAATGCTTTGAAAACTGAAAGGTAACACAGATATAAAGTTTTATTATGTTTATTGCTATGAATGATATATCCACTGAATTTCTTTGTGAATTAATTGAAAATATTTACTGTTGTTTAATTTAAAATCAGGAAGGAAAATATCTTTGGTTGTCACTTGGTCTCTTATTTCTTGTGCTCAGACTTAATTGAGTATCCTTTTTAACTTCGTAATACTAGAACACATATTTTACCCATCTACCTACTGCCATCAAGTTGATTCTGACTCATAGTAACCCTATAGGAAGAGAGAACTAGCCCATAGGGTTCCAAAGCTATAAATCTTCAGGGAAACAGACTGCAACATCTGTTTCTGGCAGAGTGGCTGGGGGGTTTGAACTGCTGACCTTTTGGTTGGCAGCCGAATATTTTAACCACTGCACCATCATCACTTGTTAGATACTGTACCAAAAAAAAAAAAAAAAAAACCAAAAAACAAATCCACTGCCATTGCCATTGAGTCGATTCTGACTCATAGTGACCCTTTAGGGCAGAGTAGAGTTGTCCCATAGGGTTTCCAAGGGTGTAAATCTTTACAGAAGCAGACTGCCTTAGTTTTCTCCTGCAGAGAGACTGGTGGGTTCAAACTGCTGACCTTTTGGTTGGTAGCTGAATGCTTTAACTGCTATGTCCTCAGAGCTCCTAGATAATGTACCAAAACAAACAAACAAACAAACAAACAAAAAAAACCAAACTCACTCCCATTGAGTTGGTTCCAACTCAAATCGACCCTTCCTTGGGTTTCCCGGGCAGTATCTCTATGGAAGTAGATTGCCCAGTCTCCCGTCCTAGGGGTGGCTGGTAGGTTGGAACCGCCAGCCTTCTGGTTAGCAGTCAAATGCCTTAGGCACTATGCCACCAGAGCTCCCAGATAATGTATGTTGATGTTGTTGTTATGTGCTGTCGGTGGAGTCAGATCCAACTCATAGCGATCCCTCCTTGGGTTTCCGAGGCAGTATCACTACAGAAGTAGATTGCCCTATCTTCCTTCCGAGAGTGGCTGGTGGGTTTGAACCGCAAGCCTTCTGGTTAGCAGTCAAGTGCCTTAGGCACTACGCTACCAGAGCTCAGATAATGTATAGGTTACGAAAATTTTCTTTGACTTTGCTAATCTAGATAGCCACCTTACATATTTACACAAACTACTCAGGATGATATTTCTGTATTGGAAGACCTCTGTCAGCAATTTTCTGTTGAAGAAAATGGTGAATGAATAAATGATATTATTAATGTAATAAAAGTAGCTGTTGGTGATGTTAACACAATTTGATACTGTTTTTATGGTTATGAAGCTGTTTCATGTATCCTCTCAGTTGTTCCTCACAGCTACCTTGTGAGGTTGGTACTATAGGTCGTCATTTGACAGATGAATAACTGAGGCCCAGAAAGGTAACGTGATTGCCAGTGGTCCCTGCTTATGGAACTGGAACTTGAACTATGACTTCAAATGTCATGCTCCTGACCAATGTAAATTATAACATGTCAAGTGTCAAATCTGGAAGTGTCAAGGTCTGATGGGGTATACATTTTGTTGTTTAAAAGGAATTCTAAATATTTGAAAATTATTGACAGGTTCACATTGTCTGTTGTTAGGTGTTGGCAAGTTGATTTTGCTTCATAGTGACTCCATGTGCCAGAGTAGAACTGCTGCATAAGATTTTCTAGGCTGTAATCTTTAAGAAAGCAGATTGCCAGGTCTTTTCTCCTGAGGAACCACTGCATGGGTTCAAATCACCAACTTACCAGCAGCTGAGTGCTTAACTATTGCACCACCAGGCTCCTTCACCTTGTCTAGCTACCCTAACTATTCACTGTATACTTCTCTTTAGAAGTCTGATGAGCTTTTTTTTTTTTTTTTTAAATAAAAATTGTGATTTCAGTGAAGGTTTACAGAGCAGATCAGTTTTCCACTCAACAATTTAGATACATTTTGTTTAGTAATATTAATTACAGTTCCCTCAGTGTAACAGCACTCTTCCTGCTGCCTTCCTTGGTGAAATATGATGTACTTCTGCTACTCTTAAAATATATAAAAAAGATGCAACTATTTTTTGGATAAAGAGTTTATTCTTAGCATGTCTGCCAGCATGTGCTACCTAAAATTGTTTGCATGTTAAAATACTAGAAAGGGTAGGGATTATGATTTTTAGAAATATATCGAACTATATAAACTTGAAAAATGTGCCATATATGATATAGCACAGTGAAAAGCCTTGGTTCTTTCTTATTCATGGGTTCTTTAGTTCTGATTTTGTTTTTAAGTATGACTCTGGATTAGTCAGGAGCTCTGGTAGCATAGTGCCCAAGGCACTTGACTGCTAACCAGAAGGCTGGCGGTTCAAACCAACCAGCCACTCCTCAGAAGGAAGATGGGGCAATCTACTTCCATAGTGATATTGCCTCGGAAACCAAAGGAGGGGTCACTATGAGTCGGGTCCAACTCGAGGGCACATCACAACAACAACTGGATTAGTGACTTGATTTCTCTGAGCTTGTTTCCCTTATCTGGAATTAAGGATAAAATGACACCTACTGTTACACCTTTCCAGAATTTTTGTGAGACCCAAATATAATAATTGATGATGAATGTGACAATAGTGTTAAAAAAAAAAAAAAAGTAACGGCTAAAACCTATGTAATTTTTGTCATGTGCTAGGACTGGTCTAAGTATTTTACATATATTCTTTTTATATATTATTATTGTGATTTGGGTGAAAATTTATAGAGCAAATTCACTTTCCATACAGCAGTTCACATACATTTTGTCTCATGATATTGACCACAATTTACCATAATGCAACATCTCCCCTCCTACTTCCTCCCAATAGTTACCTCTTCCCTGTGTCCATCCCTCCATGCACTCCTGC